CACACGAATCAGATGAACATATTTCACAGTGGTCTGTTGCTGTCAGTGAGAATGCTAATTCTTGAGTCAGATATCCAGAGCTTCCCTCAGAATTGGCAGGAAAGATGTTAGAACTGCACTAGTCTAGTTCTCATGATGCTTTGTCTTGTGCAATAGAGTTTCTGTGCAACCAGACCTCAACGGCAGGTCTGGCTCTCCTAGAGTTACTTCTGGGAGGGATTCTGATCTTTATTACAGGACTTTTGTATGGGGGGGGAAACCCATGTGCAGGGTCTGTCTCTATGAAGAGAAGCTGTGCATAAGCAGTATTAGAAACGGTACTTGGAATTAGTGCTGAGTATTATGCAGCTTCCTAAATGACATGAGCTTGCTGAATCTTTATCATTTATTAGCTTGTCATAATGTCTTATAGTCATTAAAATGACTTGAAGAGCCAAGGCTTCAAAGCTAGTAATTTCCTCATACACATCCCTGCCTGCCCTCCTGGAGAACTGTTACAGCTTTGCTGCAGGTGAGACTGAAGAGTTCCTTGTTGGAGCATGTTATTACTTCAGTAATAGCTGTAACACCCTCTAAGCCTGTTATATTAGTTTATCAGAGTCCTATGTTGTACTGGCTTCACTGTAATTGTAGATAAAGTACAGAAGCCTTCTGTGTGTGCTCTGGAGTAGAGTCTGCTCTCTGATCTTTTCACTGTGGGGTGCTGCTTGCTGAACTGTAGAAAGCTCTTGACTTGCTGCTAGTTTAACACAGACTTGTCTAGCTGAGAAGTAAGGACTTCAGCAGCTCTAGACTGCAGCTGTACTGTCCCTCAAGCAAAAGATCAAAATCAGTAGCTGAACCTGCCACTATCTCAGCAACTACTCAAAATACTGTTGTTAATGGGTGTGCAGGGAATGCAGTGCCTTTCTAAAACTCTAAGCTTCTATCCTGATACAGATATGACTTAAAGCTGGTGTCTGTTCCACACATTTGAGGTGATGATAAGATTACCTTATGCTTGCATCACTGATTTAACACTTGCATAACGTTTAAAATAAATGTAGTACCGGCTATAGAAGCTTTCTCCAGGTTCAGTGTTGGAGTTGGTAGAAAATAGAAGGATTCAGATTGCTTTTTCTCATGAGACTACCAGAGGGTTTGGATACCCTTTGCACTTTTGAGGAAATATGATTAGGACTTGCTATGTACTTATTAAATGTTGCACTACAGGCTTTTAGCCAAAAAAAAAAAAAAGGCAGGCTTAGCACAAGTACAGTCACTTTCCCTGGGAAGTTAACAGTTCTAAGCTGGCTGTGCCCCATTACCCTTGGATTCTGCATAAGCTCTGTTATGTAGAGACTAGATGATCACTTAAACTCTTGCTTTTCCTGTGATCTCAACCTTAGTGTTGCACCATTTAGGAAAGTTTGGCTTGTTGCTCCATGGACTTCTACTGAAGCAAGCTGTGAAGTAGTACATGGCCCAAAATCTACATTCTTTTTCATGCTGAGCCTCTAGTTGTTGATCTTAAGGACCTCTTCCAGCTAATATATAATATGAAGAAGGAAGAGGAAGACAAGAAAAAGGCAAGTAAAACTACAGAAACTGCATTAATCTGCATAGAAACAAAGCTTGTTTAAGCTTTGGCTTAGTTTTTGGGCTCTTGTGAGACTTGACACAGGTCTTTCTAGAGCTAAGATCACTTGAGGCTATTGGTTGGTGGTTGTACCAGCAGTGTGATTACCTCCTAGATTTGGTAAGCATTCCAAATCAAGAGGCTTTGGGTATTTTGTGTGATATCTAGGTACTAAGAGCCTTCTCTTATTTAGAGTGAAGAAGCAAGTAAGACTGAGGTAAGTCACTCCAACTCGGCCTCGCTTGATTAGGTATGCTGCTGTGATACAACTAGCTTTGACTTTCTGCTAGCATTATGGAGGCAACATTAGATGCCCAATTGCATTGGAAATGGGAGTAAAAGGGGTCTCCAGAACTAATAAGTAGTGATCTCCCTCAGACTTCCTTTTTCTATTACTTTTTTCAAGCCTGCAAGTCACTTGCTTAAGGCAAGTTTTGATATTCCAATTATCATTGACACTGTTATCTATTACAGAATGGTAGTGAAGCACTACCTGCTGATCAAGCTGACAAACTGAAACTGGTAGGTTAAATTTCAGAGCTTTATACTGGTGCCATTAAGGAATCCATAACTGACTGTCTCCACATTGTGTGGGAAACGCAGTATTTAGAAGTGTTTGCAATAGATCTGCATAATGTTTGATTCTTGCTCTTGCAAGAACTGTAACAGATACTGATTCTTCCAATATTTCTGGCTTCAAAGGAGTTGACCAGATGGACTTGTTTGGGGATATGTCATTTTATGGACAAGCAAATACTTTAAGTCCCTCAGAGTGGACTCCTGGCCATTCTAGATGGGTGGCCCTAGCTCAAGATGTGGCTTAACTCCACAAAAGTATGCATTTAGCTTGTCATAGCTCAGTGTGACCCCAAAAATTTTACTGCTTTATTCTAGCACTATAAGGCACCATCAGCCATGATCCAATTGATGCTGCAATAGGTGTCAGTCCAGCTAGCGACCAAGTCTTACCCTTCTGCCAGCTTGGTGGAGAGATGGCATGTTCACCTCTTCTACCTGCAAAGAGCTCTCTAATCTTACTCCAAAGCTGAGACTGCACCTTGAAGGCATGCTAAAGCAGTATGACTTCAGAATTTGTCAAAACAAAGGACTAGAATTCAACCAGGGCTTCTTGACTAAGTGAAAGCTGAGGTACAATTAGTGCTTAATGACTCTACAGTATCTAGGCTGTAGAACAAGCATTGATATTTAACTAAGGGATCTTAAAACAGGTGCTTTTAACATTGAGCTTCTGATGCCAAGTAGCTGTGACTTGACCACAGCTTGTGGTGCTTGCCTTAATGGCTTATAAGATGAAGCTTTAGTGTAACTTCACTGTGACATTGAATACTTATTAGTATGAGGTGTTGGATACTAGGATCTCTCCTTTTGCAGCTATTTTCCTTGTGCTTATGTATTACTTGCTGCATAGTACACAAAGCTAACTTTATTTTTTCTTTCTGAACAAATAGGAAACTAAAGAGATTCTGCTAGTGGATCTAAACTCTGAAATTGTGACCAAACAGACTCTTTTACAAGAGGATCTCTTCTTGAATGGCATCACAATCTCTCTTCCACAACCAAAGCCACAGCCACCCTTCTTGCCTGCAAGTTCTTTCTCTACCAATCTCAGCTTCTTTCCCACACCTAATCCAGACCCTTTCAGTGATGATCCTTTTGCACAGCCAGACCAACCTGCACTGCCTTTATTTGCGTCTCTAAAATCTACTGATCAGAAGGAAAGTCTGAGTACCTTGACACTGGTGGGTAATGGTGCTTCAAATAATGATATTGACTACTTTGGTAAACAGTTTGACCAGATTTCTAATAGAACTGGCAAACAAGAAGCACTAACAAACCAGTGGCCATTTGAGAGTAAGTTGCCTGCAGCAAGAACTCCAAATGGGGTACCAGAGAGAGAACAGAATGACTTTCTTAAAGCCCTGTCAAACCTGTTTGTGGAAGGTCCTTCCAAAGGAGTATCTCTGTGGAATGGAGTAAAGCTGGATTCTGAAAGCAATATCCAGCCCATGTCACATGAGTCTATAACAATTAGCCCACCACCACAATGTACCAAGCCAGGAAGAGGAAGGAGGTCTGTCAAGGTGAACAATGTTGAAGTAATTAATGGTGATATGCATGCTGTTACTTTAAGAAGCTGGCTGAAGGAAGCTTTTCTTTCTTCATACTATGTAACTGGCTAAACAGCTTTACAGCACATCTACTTTCACCTGCCATGCTTACTCCAATCTGTCTGCAGCTGTGGTACTTTCTAACATTCATGAATGCTTCATACTAGCTATGATCACTAAATTATTTACTTTCTTCCTTAATGCTGTCATACTTCTGTAAAGGTCTGGTAAGTATACTGCTATGTATATTGTCACTTGATATAATGTCAGAACCTGTTAGTTGTATGCCCATCAGCCTGTGGTTTCATAACAATGAGGTACTAGTACTAGCTTACAGAAACTTATGCAGTTTTGCAGTACCTGCCTACTGAAGGCAATCTCAATCACTTGCCTGATTAAACACAGGGTGTCTCTGGGTCAGCTGCATTTGTCTTGCACTGAAATGATGCAAAACTCAGTTGCTGACCCTGCCACAACTGCAGGGGTCACTGTAGACTGAGCAGGAATAAAAAAAAAGGGGAAGCTCATTATGCTAGAAAATCAGTCACTCCAAGTCTTATTTGTCTGCTGTTGACTTGTAACTATTGTATATTATACCTACTTAATGCCATGCATGTCAGTAGGTGTGAACAAAATGGTGATGCTTGCATCCTTTCAAGAGGAAGTATAAGCTTCAAAGTTCCCTGCTCTGCTGTAGCTGAAACAAAATCTTGTTGCTCTGAACTGGTGGGTCTTGATCAAGCTAGCATGTGTTCTGCCATGCTATCTCACAACAGCTTTTGTCTTTCTAGACTGCATCAAATGACTTGCTTAGTTCAGACTTGTTTGTGCCAACTACAGAGAGTCTCAGCTTGACCTCAGTGGTACAGACAGGACCTGTGCCAACTAATCCACTGGACCTCTTCAAAACAAGTCCTACCACAGCACCTCCATTGGCTGGCCTAGGTTAGTTCATAAAGTGAAGATCTTGTTCCAGTCCAAGATATCTGTTAACACAAACACAGGTGTTCTAGTTGTCCTTTACTTCACATGCAGTGCCCTGCCCTTTAATCCACATGCTGTCTGCTCTAAACTATTAAATTCTGTGAATAGAGCACTAAACTTGCATCCTTAACTGGAACAGGGTGTTTTGCTTAAACTTTGACAGCAGCTTGCTGCTTCACATATACAAGGTGCAAGTGTGCCAAGCACAACTTGGGAGGCCAGGGTAGCACTGCTGTAGAGTCTTAGTAATCATTTACACAGAAGTAACTATATAATAAATGTAAGTATTTACCACTTTTGTGCTGAGATTATCTTCCTACTCCTGTTCTATCAACCCCAATTCTGTTCTTCCAGGACCAAAATAGAGCTAAGTAAAAAAAGTTAACCCTCTTCTCCCCCCTCCAATGACTTAAAATTATGTGTAAATCAACAGTCTTTTGCAAACAGCACATGAAAAATGTTTTGCTGGTACCCTTGGTGGAATTGATATACTCGAGGTCTTCAGATCACTGAAGTGCTGTGTAACAACAATCTCCCCCCCTGGTGGCTTCCCAGTAATTCCATCACCATGGAGTGTACAAACACCTGCCTTCACTCAGGCTGCATCAGTCTTTCCTGTGTTTTTGCCTGCTCAGCCTACAGGATTTACTCAACCACTTGCCTTTGGTACTCAAGCAGTGCCAAGCTGGAGCCAGCCTGCATCTTTTGGTCCAGCAGCCTCTCAGACCTCTAGTCCCTGTGCACAGCCAGCACAAGTTCCACCTACTTCATGGGTACAGCCATCCAGTGCTGTAAATCCCTTCCAGAGTAGTTTATTCTTATCTTCAACACTACCTGCTCAGACCTCATCTGTACTACTCTCCATGTTGTCAACTAGCCCACCTCAGCCACCACCTAGAGCTGCACCTCAGAAGGAGCTATCTAAGAGAGGGAGTGATGCTTTTATTGCTCTGGATCCACTTGGGGATAGAGATATGAAGGATGTCAAGGAAATGTTCAAAGACTTCCAGCTGACAAAGCCACCTGCAGTACCAGCAAGGAGAGGAGAGCAGCACAGCCTTTCAGGTGCTTCTGGATCTTTCAGCAATTATTTTAGTAGTAAAGTAGATATTCCTCAAGATAGTACAGATCATGATGATGTGGAAGCTAGCAAGCTGTCTGCCAAAATGACTGATTTTTTTTCTACTTGGATAGCTGCTCAGGCAGTGGGATGGCTGATCACTATTCTTTTCTGATAGAAATAAATTTGATTTAATGGTTACTAAAACAGGGTTGAAAGTCTCTCTCCTAATAATGTTAGAGTTGACCAATGTCAGTGGCCAAACACTGACGCCTAGTGCCTAAAGTACTTGACTAGACTGAGGTAAACTAGGTCTGTACAGTGTTAGAAGTCCCATCTAAGCTTAAGTGTACTGAGGGCCAAGCAGGAGATAAAATTGAGGCCACTCAAAGCAACTTCTGTGTGGGCTTTTGTGCACCTAGTTAGATGAGCTTTGGTGTTGCTATACAGAGCTGAGTACTTGTTAAAGCTGTTCAGTGATATAGCAGTGTGTCTCTTCTCTAGAACCACCAAAGCCTGTTCCCCAACAAACTGTGCTGCCAGCTGATGGCCTGTTTGAAAGTCAAGCTAAACCAGACCTTTTCAGTGCCTCACCTGTAAGTAGTAAAAAACCAAAAAAAACCAACACACACAAAAACTAAACACCACAACCTTCCCTTCCCCCGGGCATCTGTAAACAGTTCCCCAAGCTGCAAGCCCTACCAGGAAGTTCTTCAGTCCTGTATTGGGAGCTTCTACAAAAGACTATGAAATAATGTAGCTGCAGAAGTGTTCTACTTTGGCTATGCTTACCTCTCTGCACAGTGGACAGTGTGGACTGTGCAGCTTTCTAGATAAACAAATGGGAGGCTCCCATGTTCAGTACCCTCTGGGGGAGGAAGTGGCTTTACCACATCACTCCATTTGGGACATAGCATTTGAAACCCTTGGAAACTCTAGATCAGTTCTGGAATGCTGACTTAAGACATCTAGCATTTGGCTAAAACAGACCTCATCATGACTATACTGGCTCAGCTCCAAATGAGTGTTCACTAGGCACACATGGCTTTTCTGAAAGATACCTTGCCTCAGACTAGGATAACTGGTAACATGGATTTAGAGACTTTTTTGTTAAAGCAGTACAGTTAATGCGTATTTAGCAGGCATTCTGCAGTATTTTCTTTCCAGAAGGTGTTTGGAACAGGAACTATCTGATACAAACATGCAGAATAAACCTGATAAAACCTGGAAATCTACTAACAGCCTATGATATCTCTTTCTTAGAAGGAATCTCAGAAACCACCTTCTGGTGATCCTTTTGACAATCCATTTGCGTAGATCAGGTAAGTCTTCTACTAATCAGAGAACCTACTTTATTCTCCAGTATTGAGGTAGAAAACCTTTGGCAAAGAGCTGGCTAAAAAAACCTACACTGGCTTGACTTTAATGCTCCTCTGAAGTATGTTAGAGTCCCTAAAAGAACACTTCTGCTAGAGTCTTCAGACTTGTATATAGCTGCACTCTGGCTAAGCCTTAGCTGGCTTCACTTTCTTGGAAATAAAGATGTTATTCTTCCATGGACTTAAATCTCAAGGCCACAATAGATCTAGTTTTCCCTTCCTTGAGGAAAGTTAATGAGTAAACATGCTGGAAAAACAGAGGGGCTGACTAAAATCTTTCAGATATCTCTTTATGAGAGTGTTAGCACACAGTTCCCTATACAGCTTTCTGAAGTTTAATCCCCTAAGTATTGCAGGTTTGTACTCTGAATTACAGTAAAAACAGCATAAGGGCTATTAGAGCTTTTGTCACTAGAAACTAATGTAACTCAAACTTTTTTACTATTGACTAGAGAACATGAACTGTCAAACTGACAAATCTATTCTTCTGCCACATCTCTAAGTCTTCCCCTGAAATATTGTCTAGCTTCTAACATAAGACAAATGTTGCTATTTATTGCTTTAGTTTTCCTCTTAGAGCTACTAAGCTAGTTTAAGCAATAAAACTATAACTTATAGCCATCCTAACATTAAGTCCTTTTTCATCATGCTAGGCATAACCAGAAAAGGACAAATGGAATAACTGGACCTCTTCTCAACATGACTCTTCTACTTGTTTCATTTTGCTGTCTGCCACTCTTGCTGCTGTTCCATGATGTCTGTAATCCAAAACATGTCCAGGTGGACTGAAACATGAACCCTCAAAGAAGATGCTGTGAAGATAATTCAGGGCAAAGCAAATGGAAAGTTGGACTTATGCTGAAGATGCAAACTCAAATTGGTAGATGTTAATTTTACTTTAGTTCTTGGCCATCTTTCACAGAAGAGCTTAGCAACACTAAGTTGTGTGTCTTGTAAATACAGTCACCATAATTCCTCTTTTGTGGCACTTACTGTCCTAAAATATAGGAACTGAATGTACCTGGGGAAGAAATGCTGCCTTCACATAAGGTAATTGAATCAGTAGCTGAAACTCCATGCTTTAACATGCAACTGACCTAGTTTATCACAACAGCAGTAAAGTGGATGCTACTCCTTATTGGTGACTGGAAATGAGACTTGGTCTCTGAGCTCCAAAGATGTAAACTGTATGGGGGGGGTTGGAATCCAATACTTGTCCATCTAACTAATGGTAAAAGTAGCACTCTGCCATAAATGTGTAATAAAGGGACTGACTGTGGGGTCTGTAACAGAACTGCTGGGGTCCTGAGTACTAGAGGCCTATGCTGTAGGGTCAGATAAGCTGAAACACTTCCTGCAGAACACTGAGATAGTCATGGACAATAACTGTTGTCTTGGTGCTAGTCTGGCATTCTTCAGGGAGGGAAATCTACTAGGTTTACTAAGTCACCTTAAAGTAGACAAATGGAACAAGCAATAGGCTTCTTGCATGTGTATATCAGTGAATGTCCCTAATGTTGCTCAGTTTGAGTTGTCATGTGGTGTAATGTGGCATGTTTCCAGTATGTTAGCAGAAAGAAAATCATGGCTTTACTCAATATCTGATTCCCTGTGAACAGATGTACCACCTCTGTGCCATTAATGTGAAGTAGTCTTCAATCTCTTCAAAACAGTGCCTTTTCTAAAGAACCTGTTTACTAATAGATCTCTAAATCAGTTGGTTATAACTGACTGTAACAGCTACATTCTTGTCCAGTGGTGATGACTGGTTTTTCTGTTAGAGTAGAAACTTGGGGGGGGTGCTGCGGGGGTGGCTTCTGCTAGAAGCTGCTAGAAACTTCCTCTATGTCCAATAGAGCCAAGGCCAGCCGGCTCCAAGACAGATCCACTGCTGGCCAAGGCTGAGCCAATCGGTGACAGTGGTAGTGTCTCTAGGATAACATATTTAAGAAGGGAAAAAACATGTATGTGGCAATTGCAGCCAAAGAGAGGAGTGAGAGTATGTGAAACAGTTCTGCAGACACCAAGGTCAGTGAAGGAGGAGGGGGAGGAGGTGCTCCAGGTGCCGGAGCAGAGAT